TTTTGCTTTAGATAGTACCCGACTAGATTGCACGCAAATTGATCATCACTAAAAAATCTACGTCACTGTGGGAAATCTGGCTGTCGGCATACATTTATTCTGTAGAGGTAGATGCTTTTTCCATGTTCAATGCTTGGTTATATTCTGTTAATGTTGTACTTCTAGGTGTTTCTGAGATTACTTTATATAATTTATGGCTAAAATATTTTCATCCGCTTTTCAAACAGAAATTAGCAAAGGCAATTTTCATTGGTTCGGAACTTCGGGGATGGATTAGTCATATTGTGACATTACTGTATCTCATGTAAAGGCTTTTTGCGGGTGTGGAACTATAGGAAACCATTAGACGTGGCTTCAAATGACAATTGTATTTTCCTATGATGGACATATAATCGCTGAAGCGGATTCAGTATACGAGTATGCTGTATAATTAAGATTCAACTGTTCTGGACAAAATTGAAGGAAATCCCTTTGCGGGGTGACAAAATAAGGTTTCTCTGTTGTTGTAGGATTTATTTTCATTTATTGGTTTATTTTCCTCGTCTGACTGATATTTCCCTTCAACTGGATCTCGAATCGTAGAGGCCGAGTACCCGAGCTTTTGGTATCTGATTTCCGATATTCATTTTTTTTCTGGGGGAAAATTGTGACGTAGAACTGCGCAATAGCCCACTGTTTTGGGGAATTCCAGATGGGCTCAAGTGGCCTGTTGCACCATTCAATCCTATGCGATAAATGTCTCGCTCTCAAAAAGGATATTCGAGCGGTTTGTCCTCAAAACACGTTCGGTTCGGGAAGAAAATAGCGACGGGGACACGTCCTGTCACACGCGTCGGACCCGTCGCGGTCAAGGAACTGTTCCGGCTATTCTCGCAGACGGACGCTAGCGAAAGGTAGATGTATGTTGAACTGATTGCTACGGATGTTGAAAAATACGAAGAAGAAAAAAGCAACAGTCTGGGTCAGACGTTGCGAAAGGCTGATCATTTCACGGCGTTGAGTGTTGGAGCAGTCGAGACAGTGACCACTGGAGCTTCTCCGCCATCCGTCGCGAATCGGCACCCTTTCATCGCGTCACGTTGAAATAGCATTTATAGTCCGCGTTCGACATCCGGCATTATTCCATGATCCACGGTTTCACGCGTGTTTGAAACAAAATCAGCTTTCGACAAAACAGCCACGTTCCATGGCTAATTTCCCCGATTCACATGGCATAAAGCAAACGCAGACAGTTGTTTATCTGGTTCAGGAACCGATGGAAGGGCGCTCGAAGAGCTTTGGTTCATATCTGAGTACTATGTGTGTCTTCGTTTGAAAGTGAGCTTTTGTGGTATTTTTCCCAGCCCTCAGAAAGCGGAAAGGTGCTATGAAATCGAATAAGTTTTTGGATAACAAAAAAAGGAAAGGTAAAGACGCGTGAGGTTGGAACAAAATCAGCATCGTGAAATACAGCCGAATTACGATATCTTTTCATTTGAATGTCCTTAATTAAACGCGAAGAGTTGTCCACTCGCTTAATGAATCGATGGAAAAGTGTGCTGAAAGATCTTCTACTTTATTTTGAAACTTAGCGTGTCTGCGTTTGGGTTTATGATGTTTTTTGTCAAACTACAAACGGCGTTAGCTACGAACAAAGTACAGTACTGTAGTCCTACTTCGTTGATGAAGGGTATAGTAAGGATAAAATGAACTTGTTCGTGAGCTTGAAACTAGACCTACTTCCGTCAAAACAGACACGTTCTATGTCGTATTATCCAATTTGAATGGCATGGAATAAACGTGGAGAGTTGTTTCCTTACTTCAGCACTTGGCGAAAGTACTCTCAATGAACTCCTGTTATTCTTTCTCAACTACGACGTGTGTTTGAGTTTAAATGCATATTTTGTGTGCTATTTTCGAAAGAAAAGAAGATATGAATGAGATCAAAAGTTGCACGAGTTCCTCAATAAAACCTACAGCTGGGTAATTAAACATTGGCTTTGTCTCGAATCAAGCATAACAGACTTTGCAAATCACCGTAAATGCACGCATTTTGTGTGGACACGCGCAGGTTTTTTCCAGAGAAGCATTTTAAATGTCGAAGGAATGAAGTCAAGTCATTTCGTGAATTTTTTTTTATTTCATATTCTAATGAATAAATGCGCAAAAATCAAAATACAAGGGACTTTCGATTACATGAAACCAAGACGATTGTTTTAAACAGTTCACAAAACGGAATACTGCTTTGTGCCGACCTGAAAACTTAAATTAATATCACGATACGGTGGGTGTATATGTATTTGCTTGACTTGCGAAAACTCAGAGAAAGAAAAGCGGCATGCATCATTCCCTAAAACGAAAAATTTTCCGTCTAAGTTACATTGGTACGCAGTGCATGAAATAAAAGCAGACGCATGAAAATTTTCCTTAAGACCCTCATGGCCTGAAAGAAAAAAAGGTAAATGAAAAAAAACATGGCCTGATTCCAGCGCCTGAGCTCGTCCGCACGCGTACACGTAAGCGGGGCATTCATTTTATTCTGATTTTTAATTACGCCCGGAGGTAAGGAGGTAATCGTGCAGCTGCAAGACATTTAAACAGCCCCGAGGTGAACGCACATTTGGAGAAGGTCAACGCATAACTAGGTCTTTAGAACGCTGGGTCAGTCACTCCCGAGTTTCGACCAACCAACGTAAGTGAACCATGAGACACCTAAGAAACGTTCAAAAATCCCTTGCTTTGCTCCATCCAAGTTCAACACGCGCAAGAAAGCATGCTTCATAATATTCGTTCTCAGCAAATTTTCCAGCAAATTTTCCCGAAATGTGAAACTGAATTTCAGAAATTTGAAATTGAATTTGTTATATCTAATGCTTACGTCTGGGGAGATGAAAATATGCACAACAACAGGGATGAGCCCGGGGAAGTCTTCAATAGCACAACAACAGCGATGAGAGCGCAGTGGAAACGCACACACACATCCACAACGGTCGTTCATCCCTCATTTAGGACTTGCTTATTGGCTCGCATAAATGAGGCCGTAACAGGAAGTTTCTTTGAAATAACCTCTCATGATCAACAATTTTACAGCGTAAATAAGTCCTTCCGGGTTCAGGTCTGCCTGATGGCTGCACAGCTGGGAAAAATTCACGAAGGGTGACTGCTAGCAAGTGGAAACGTTTGTCAAACATTCAACCCTGACCCCGAGATCACCAGATTTAACAAATCATGGTGGAAACCATTCACAATCAAAGCAGACTTTTACGACAACAAAAAAGCGGAATAGCCGCATCAGGAAGTACGTGGGATGGTTCAAAAGTTTTGGTAGTGCCATAAAAATAATTTATTCGGGTTATCAAGTTGCAAAAATTACTATAAAAGAATAAGAAGGCATTAAGGAAGCCGCTGTTAATTAAAAAAACTAACCTTAACTTTTTGCTATCTTATTGACCTTTTAGACTCCAGAGTTCACACCGACCTTCACAATATGCATCAGCACCAACACAGAAACTGCGTCGACCAGAATATGATATGGTTTTCTTATCCGGTATATAAACCTCGGGGTGTTTTTTTTATCACACCAGTTTTGAAATAATTGGTAGTACTTTGACCACCGGCAACTTTTTAAACCATGCAACTTCGGCCGGTCATTTTTCCCTCGTGATGGGTGCAGCTTTTTGCATTTTCTTCAATTTGGGTGGGAAACTTTCCGAATTACGAAGTAATTAGGAAATGATTAAATATGACGTACAGTACTCTGGAAATCACGTGAAAATCCATGAGTGAAATATGAATTCAACATGGGAAAAATGCTGCCAAAAACTTATTAAACAAGCAACATATTTGGTGCCTCTACCCCAACTCTGATCTGCCCTCAGCTTACTATACTCGCGTGTCAATGCAGAGGCGCCAGTGGGCGGATAAACAGCCCGGAATTCTGCCCGATCAGCGAGCTCAGCCTAGGCTCTCGGCCCATGCGTGACCTTTTTTTTCCTCTTCCCAGGATACAACGAATTACAGCACGTACAAACGTTGCATAACGTTGAGTGCGCAATTAGGTCCGGAAACAAAGCCCTCGAGCTTCGCAGCAAGTTGACCCGACATTAACCCGAGGGACGGAGAACACAAGAGCTGTTGCTACATGAAGGAGTTAAAACTGGATATCGTGCTGCATGACATTTTGCGGCGGAAAGAATGTGCAGAAATTATGAAACCGTCATTGAAGCACAGAGGAAAGCAGTGACTCATTCTTCGTCCGACATTTTCAAATGCGATTAAAGCATGAATTCGGCCCGAGTCCTCCGACTAACTTTGATTGCGGAAATTCGACAACGAAATCGTTTTTCGACAGAGCGATAAGTTTTCATGCGCTACTTTGACGATTTATTTCAAAGGCAGATACATATTTCATCGTGAACGACTGCTGAGTCCACGTGTGGGTGGACGAGAAGGAATAAGTTGAAGTCTCAAGGTTAATTGATTCGCGTTGGTTGTTGCTGAGCGGCAATTTCAAAAATGAGAAATGCGGCGAGTGAAGGCATACCATATTTGTATAAAGGAAGCGACTAACACTGCTTATGTATTCTTCCCAAAATTTTGCGTCGGCGTGACTCGGCTCTCGAACATTTACATTTCCGTGCGACCCTTACAAAATCAACATCAAGTTTGTAGCGGTTGTATGTTTTAATTTCTCCCGCGATCAAGCTGGACGAAATTTCTGTGAATTTCAAAAATACTGGACACTTTTGCATGATTCCTGTCTTATACGTCTGGTTTCCAAATTCTCCATGAAGTCCGTCATTCGGCAAAAATCGCCGTGAATATTATACTCCTTTGTATTACACGCATACATACTTCAAACGAATAAGTGACTTTTTCTTTGTAAACCGAAACGCTTCCTTTAAAATTACCTTTTACACAGCTTACTGCAATATCTATGTCTGCTTATCATGCATGGATTGTTCTCACTTCCGCTGTACATCCAACAATGAGGATTGAAGTCATTTTTTATGATTCCGGAGCTAGATTTCGTAGAATATGGAACGCAATTTGATGCCGTGCTTTTCAAACTTTTTAAAGTTTGCATCAATGTCAATGCTGAACACCGTCATTGTTTTGTGTGCCACGATGGAAAATTCAGTGAGATTTCTTTGCGTGCCACGCTCGCAGGGAAACGTGTTGAGGTTATCTGGTTCTCAATAAACATTGGTGAATTAGTGTCCAGCATACTTCCTTCCAGAAGAAATGAGGGGGGCATATTCGATTGATCTCAAGTTCAAGACAGTATTTTACCACTGATTGACACCCGTGTCCTAACAACCGGTATATCGAGAATGGACCGTCCGAAAGCGTTTTAATTTTGAACATTGAATGTTCCATATAATGACGTGATAAAGACTCACCAATTTTGGCAAGGGAGCCGCAGAAGATCCAGAGAGCTATGATGAACGGTGTCTCAACCCGGATAAAGTCCACGGTCGCGATGGGATAGCTGTGGCTTCCACCGGAATCGTTCTCGCGACCACCACCGGCGCCATCACCACCCGTCCTCCCGGCGTTGATATTGGCCGAATGTCCTGGTGGCCGCCCCGACGACACCGACGGCGGCACCCGCGGTCGGGGAACCATGCTCGGTCGTGGTGACGACGACGACGGCGGCGGAGCAGCGCCACCTCCGGCGGCACCACCGCCGCCGCCTCCAGCCCCACTGCCACCAGCAGCTTTGGTAGTTGATTGCGCTTGGCCACCTGTGACACCTCGTCCAAGCACGCACGCAGCCGCGATGACCACGAAAAGAATGATCCGAGTCCTGGACACAGTTTCTCTGTAGTACAGAGCTTTACGGCGCCTTTCGTCCGCCAGCTCCGCTTTAGTCCGGCTCGTCATGACGTAATTCGCTTTTGGATCACAGGTTCGTTGGATAAATCTCTTTTAATCACAGACTAGGGTATCAGCTTAAAGCGATCTCTTCTGCGTCTGAATACGCGCTCTCCCGCAGGAATCCTTGCTCCAAAGCAAAATCAAAAGCACGCAGTCAAGTCATCGCAAAATATTGCCGCGGGAATCGTCAGAAGAGCAGTTTCCGGGGAGGAACGCAGGAAAAACTGGGAATAAAAACGTTCACAATATTAGCCAGCGATCGTTGACGGAGTACAACTCTCAAGGAGAAAATGAATTTCCCCAAATGCAGAGTTTCCATTTTTTATTTTTATTCCGCGATCTTTTCCCTTGAAAAGTCACATTCACGACACCCAAGGACTTCTTCCGGAATGCAAGCTTCACTAGGAACGCAGCGCAGCGGAAATATCATTTCTATGGGTAAATGCGCACAAATTTCATTTCCGCAATCACGACCTTAGGTAACTTCGAAAATGGCGATGCCCGTATTTACGCGATTAAAGGCCGCATCCCGATGTTGGGATTCGTTTGAGGGAAAAAAGCTCAATCGGAAATCGGACTTGATTTGATCTCGACGATAAGCCGCACGCATTACTTCAGACGGACCTAACAGACTGAAGTTCCTTTCCTTGGGAGGATATGCGACCTTCAATTGAATAATATTACGGCTGACCCAAGCATACATACTATTCTAGATAATCTGTAATTTCGAAACGTCGAATCGGCAAAATTACGGAAGCAAAAAGTTGAGAACTGAAAAAAGGCACTTTGAAATGCTCCGTCAAAAGTGATGCTTCGGAATGCGTGCATGGAAACCTTTCGGAAAAAAATCATACATCAATTTATTATTTTCTTTTGCACGAGGACAGTAGCATCATCCTAGGACAGTGCCTCTTTCAAAATGTACTGTACTGTACCAGTGTTCACCCAACACTTCTTCCCTTCGTCAAGAATCGCCTTCAGAGGGCTTCGCATAGTTTCAGGACCATAGCTATATTTTAAACTAAGACTTGAGCATAAGAAAAAGGCATTTCTTTTATTAATTTATTTATATGATCACTTTGGAAAATCTTTCCCCTAATCTCCTAAAACCTGTTGCGATTAAACTTATTATAATCCCAAATTTAGTACATAACACCCGAAGTACCAAATGATACGTGTTTGTACTCACTGGTTAAAGTACCACTGGCTGAAACCCCCTTTCATGGACATGGGCTTCTCTGCCTTCTTGTGAATTGTGCACTTGACAGATATGCCGTTTGTACCACTTTCTGGGCGCGTTGATATAGGTTGCATACCACTGGTACCCATGATTTTCCCCATTTCTTTATATTTCTTTATATAAGCTTTAATGTCCACTTGATTGATAAAATGATTCACGCAATGCCTAACTTGAGAAGAGTTTTACCTCAGATTATCGACATGATACCGTACGAAGTCACAATGTGAAGCTCATGCTTTCTTTAAATTGATCATTCTGAATTCCAACGTGAGTGATCACGTACAACCAATGGTACGTCAAATACTTGCTAAAATAATGCACCTTGTCCTAGGAGACTGCTGAACCACCCAGCGGCGCAGTGAGCACAATATTCTATTCATTTATGATTCTTTTCTTTTTTGTCCAGTAGTGAACGAAGTACAGTAGATGTTCCAAGAAAAATGTGCATTGGTGATCGGGGAAAGAAATACGGGTTCAGAAGATTACTTTTTCCTCAAGAATCTCCACATCTAAGTTCCAGCTCAGCGTCTCAGATTGCCTCGCATCTGACTTCACATTTCTCCCGATTTTTTTTCTTCTCCACCGAATCGTGGAAGCAGGTCGAAACGAAAGTTAGAAAGATTGCTTTGAACGGACGCCTCTTGCTGGAGTCCCGTTTACTCGGACTGAAAGCGGGCTCAGCTCCAGCCGGGCTCATTTCGAATGCAAAACCGAGAAAAATTGGAAATTGGCACTACCCGGTAACTCCTACCTCGAATTATAGTACAGCATTACCTTAATTGTCAAGTTTCCTCACGCGGTTGTAGGGAACCCACAACGCACGGCTCTGCTTAGCTAGAAAACTTGAACACTCCGGAACAAGTATCGCTCTGAACAACGAAAGTTCGTAGAACTAATATTTTCAATCAATTTCAAACATATGCACAGGCTGCACAAGTTGGAAATGATATCCAACCTCACATAAGTTGAGGAAGTGAGTCTATACAGCATGATATCGGCCCGATCCTTTCAAAGCCTCGCACCAAATGCTTCCGCAATAAGAAATGAATAGAAGGTGCACCAAATCACAACATATACATAAAACAGCACTTTCCTCGACAGGATTATCACAGTTCAACGCAAGACGCAGATAAAATGAGCACGGAGTCCGCGTTCGAGAGGGGAAAAAAAATGTATGGCTCGAAATATTCGGAAACAAGGAATTTCCCGCGTTGCATGGAAATTACTGAGTAAAAGGAGGAATGCGATTCCATTATGCGAATTTTATGATACGAAAAAAAAACTATAATGCTCGTCCGACTTCCACTGCTTTCATTTAGCAAACCAGGGTAGCTGGCGTTCCGATTCTTCGGAAGGGAAAATAATTGCCGATAAATTTTCTCTCGACACGCTTTCATTTTTTTCCCTCCCATCTCAGCTCTGGCATACAGAAGAGAAGTCCTGACTCCAGAGTGTGCCGACATTTGACTCGCGGAAGTAAACATAGATGTCTGGACACCGGTCAGGGACTGATTCCTCGCGCGGGAAGTCACGTTTGCTATAGAATAGAGTGCCGTACAGAGATAGACTAAGACTTGACTGTTGAGGGAGAAAACGCGCGGATGGCTGCGGCGCCTCCCGGACGCGCGCGCACTATCGCAGCTCGGCCGCGACTGCCAAGCGCTGGAGTCTGGGCGCTTGGACAGCTGAGTCGAAACACGCTTGCCGGGCCACTGCAACATACGGTACTCGTACGTCGACGAGGCATCCGCTCACTTGCGCGATTTTGACTCGCGCGCCGACATATATAGCGCGAGAGCGCACGACAGCGCTTTCTCACGTTCGCGTACTGAAGGGCCAGCACGAAATTCTTTCGACGAGGGATGGAAAGTTTCTGACTGGAGCGTCGCTTTGAATCTCCGAAAACGGCGAAGACTCGTTGAATCAGGATATGCTACAAAATATGTACGTCTTCTCCTGTGTTCTCTATTGTACTTATTAGTGCTAAATTTCTTCAAGTTCAGCATGGGACAGCTTTACGCAGCGCTGAGGAAAATTACAACAAAATGTAGGTAACTTGAAAAAAATTATATAGTCAAGTCCCATCACTCCAAAGTTTTAAAAACTACCCCATCAAAAGAGACGCTTTCAAATGACTTCTTTGTCATCTTTAGTTTCCAGTCTGCTAAAAAATTTATACCTACATCTAAAACATAGCGATTCGTGTAGTTTGGGTCCGACGGTGGATATTTTTTTTATCTATCAGCAATCGAACAGTCAAAACATAGTTTCATAGTCGAAATTAAGAAAATAAAACACTGTACTGTATTGCTTTTTGATGCACTGTGGCATAATGTAAATTGAAGTAGGAGAGACTCAGTCTGTGCTCGTTCAGTGTAACTCTGGATTTGCTTTCCAAGGGATCGGTGGTTGTTCTTGGAAGATTTAAAAAGAAATTCTTCGAACTTTTATTAGTAAGAAGTCAGAAAAATGTACAAAAAGTTGTAAATGCTTATTAGTTCAAAGATAATAATTCGTCTGAATAAGCCTAAGGACCCATTATTACTGAAAGTGGCTCCTGATGGGGTTAAAAAAAGGGGGGTCGAATGAAGGGAAAGGTGACAGCGTACGTTTATTTTCTGATTTCTCTTTACATTACTTTAAAGTGAAGTCGGTTGCAAGATCACGCGGTTTGAGTTTCCCAATTCACGATCAGAGGGCCGTTACCGTCAACACGGAGCAACGCGATTTGGAACCGCAAACGCGACCGGCAAATAAGGGAGACACTTCTCGACTAACCCTAGCGTGTGGAAAAGCCGCCAGTGTCCGAGAAAACAACACCCGAGGGCGACGTTAGCGAATCCCGCGGGGCGCCGCTCTTAAACTTCAATCGCACGGACCAAAACCGCGCGCGCGGCGGCGCTGCGCGTATTTTCTTTTTAAACTCATTTCTTAAATTTTTCTGCGGACCGACATTTCGCGTTCAAGCACCGGGTCCGACGCCCACATTTTGCCCAGTACTGCGACCCGATAATGACCGGTCCCGAAAAAAGGAAGAAAGAAAACGTGTCGACCCTCGGGAAAACTCCTGCGCTGCTCACCCGGGCCCCAAAGAGCCTGGTTCGTGCCGAATTCCTCTCATCCCCGCGCCTCGCATTCACACCCGTCGCTTTTCAGCAGCCTTCACGCTGATTCTCCTGTTGCGTTCTTCTGACATCCAAGGAAAATAGTTTTGACAAGCTTGGGAAGAATGCGTATATTTTCAGGGGCGACAAAATCTGTGGCTGACCTTTCCGCGTCAGATGGCAGTTATAGCCGCAACTTAATGAATGTCACGTCGTTCGCGGTATAACTCGTTTAAAATAACTTCATCAGTGTCTGTCAGTGAATGCACCATCTGTGTGATGACTAATCTGTTACTTTTTCTTCAGTGGAACTCGCCGTTTTTTTGGGCTCAAAGTTACTAACCTTGGAAAGCACGTCATAAACGATGAAGCGTTTACCGCCCTGTACATTTCTATCGATAATTACATTACGAAAATCGAATAGAAATCCCGTGCTTAACATATTTGTGACATCTATTGACAAATATTTGGAAGGAGAGCGACGTATCATTAGAGGAATCACGCAGAAGATGAAATAATGGGGGTATTTTACTCCAAGTTCACCTGAACAAAAACAGAACTGAAATATACTTCGGAGGAAGCACTCGTATATTTATGAATATTTCAGTGGAGGCCAAGCATCATTAGAACAAGAAGAATTTTGCATAAATCACGCTACAGCGGTTGGAAGGGGTTACGCTGGATTCCTTACAAAAAGTCTGCATGAGGAAAAAGGATACGAAGAGACAGACGGAATTCGAGTGCATTAGGACGTCTTCGGTTTCCATGAAGATTAATTTTCGGCAGCCTTCACGCCGACTCTGTCACTCAAGGTAAAGTTTTTTTTTTCAATGACGGTTTAGAGGTTTTCCGGAGGAGCTGAAATCGCGCAGCTAGGACAAAAATCAGCATATAGCTGAAAATT